GCCTGTGCACAGCGGGTGCCCCTGGCTCATGAAGCGCTTGGGGATGTGGTGGTGATGGGTTTGTGGTTGGGCTTGATGACCTTGGAGGCCTTTTCCAACCATTATGATCTCCTGAGGTTGCTGCTCTGGCCGGTGGAAGCCTTTGCTGCCTGCTGGTGCCTCTGCTCGCTGCCGGCCTGAGCCCTGCTCTGCGCTGGGGCACATCTGACTCGCTGAGTTAAGCGGGTTTCATAGTGGGCCTCCTCGTGTGATCTGTGCAGGGGGTTAGTGCTTCTTGGTGACTTTTACCAGTTCTCCTTCCTTGTGTCTCATCCTCGTTCTAGGCAGATGTGGTTCTACTCGTTACCTGCTCAGTGAGGTGAGAAACTTTTTGTCACCGCTGTTAATTGTCGCAGAGCTGTTGTGCCTTCAGGTTGGAGCAGTGGCAAGTGGCAGTAAGCTCTGTTTTCCTGGCTCCCCAGGGAGAAGGCCGAGCAGGCCATCTGGAATCGCCTGCAGCACCTCAAGGCTCTGAAAGCCAAGCGGCTCCAGGCTCGCCTCCCTCTGCACATCGGGATCCTAGGTACTGGCAGGACGCGCTGCGCGGGGCCGCGCACTGCGTCCCCTCTGCCCTTCTGGTGGCATCAAGCCTTTTCTGCAGCTGGAGAGGGGGCAGAGGTGTCACTGAGGGTGGGCCCTTCCTCACAGGCACTGTTCTGCTTTGGTGGCAGGGTGCATGGCTGAGAGGCTGAAGGAGAAGATTCTGCACAAGGAGAAGCTAGTGGATATTGTGGCAGGCCCCGATGCATACCGTGACCTTCCCAGGCTGCTGGCAGTGGCCGAATCTGGCCAGCAGGCCGCCAACGTCCTGCTGTCACTGGAGGAGACTTATGCGGATATTTTGCCTGTCCAGACTAGTGCAAGTGGTGCAACAGCGTTTGTGTAAGTACCTCGTCTTCCTGTGCGAGTTCCTAAGGTTCTGGTTCGGAAATACTGTTGTGCAGAACAGACACGTCAGTGACAGCAGCTACCCAAGAGATGCAGAGCCTGGTTGTGCTCACCACCAGCGACCCAGGACTCCGGTCTACCAGAGTGTTCATTGCCTCTTTGCTCTCTGACCGAGCCCTGGAGAGGCTGCCCTGGGCTCTGACTGACTCTAGGCTTCTCTTACTCTCCTTTGGGAGTGCTGGTTGTCTAAGCCTGCTGCTGCACCAAGTGATTTCTGTCCCACCAACATTTGTGCTCTTTGAAAATGTGTGCTGCTCTCATCCCTGCCTTCTGCTACGCCCTGTTCCATTTTCCTATTTAATTCTTCTAATCCATGTGTTGTCATTTCTGTTGTATTTTTAGTTCCCTTTATGGGAAAGCCACAAAATTGGGTTCCGAGCGGGTGCTGTGTGCCCTGCAGACCAAGTGTTGGAATGGGGCTGGCTGAAGGCTGGGTCGGAGCAGGGGAGGATGCGACACGGGTGGTTCATGCAGGTGGTCACGGTGCTGACCGGTGTCTTCCCGCTCCGCAGATCCATCATGCGGGGCTGCGACAACATGTGCAGCTACTGCATCGTGCCCTTCACCCGTGGCCGGGAAAGGAGCCGGCCCATTGCCTCCATCCTGCAGGAGGTGAAGATGCTCTCGGATCAGGTTAGGAAGAGCCTTATTCCAACTGTCCCACACTGTGGTTCTCAGGGAAAGCGTTGGTTTTGAGTGGTACCTTTCACCAGTGATGCAGCTTTTATATCTGCAGATAAGGCTAACTCAGGGTCCAGCAGTTACTTTTTAATTGCCCTTGTAACTGTTCCCAGGGAAGGGAGGGCTGCCCTTGGAAACTCGTCTTTGAAGTATGAGTGAAACCATGGCTGCTTCTGCAGCTTTGACCTTCCAAGTTAGGTATATATTTTTTTTGTCTCTCTTTTGTAGGGGGTGAGAGAAGTGACTCTCTTGGGTCAAAACGTCAACAGCTTTCGAGACATGTCTGAGGTCCAGTTCCAGTCGGCTGCTCCCCCAGTCCTCAGCCGTGGCTTCAGCACAGTCTACAAACCCAAACCAGGAGGCTTGCGCTTTGCACATCTCCTGGACCAGGTCTCCAGGATTGACCCAGAAATGAGGATCCGTTTCACCTCTCCACACCCCAAGGATTTTCCTGATGAGGCAAGTGTAAAATAGACACCCGAACCTCTGTTTGCAGACAGGTAGCTGTGAGCTGGTGTGTGTGTTTTGTGCCTTCTTCCCACATGGAACAGCCGTCCTGGGAGTGGGGAGGTGACTATGCTGAAGCTGTCAGGTTTGCGGTGTTCTGGCTTCTGCTTGGGGAAGATTCTTCCCTTTAACATTCTGGCAGAGTTGAGCCAGTTTTGAGAGTATTTTCCGAATGCCCTTCGCAGGTTCTCCAGCTTATCCAGGAGCGACACAACATCTGCAAACAGCTTCACCTCCCAGCCCAGAGCGGAAGCTCACGAGTTCTGGAGGCAATGAGACGGGGGTGAGTGGTGGCCACGCAGAGCCTCTCTCCTGGCCTTTGATTCAGGGTGCTGTTTTCTCCTTGCTGATGTCATGATTTGCTGACCAGCAAATCCACGTGTTGTTCGTTGCAGGTACACAAGAGAAGCGTATTTGGAGCTGGTGCAGCACGTGCGTGACTCCATTCCAGGTACGGGCTCCCTTTGGCTCGGTCTGATGAGTCTCATGCTGATACACTCATGCTGAGTGTATCTTACAGCCTGTTCTGTGTGTCTGTGACAGGAGTGAGCTTGAGCAGCGATTTTATTGCTGGGTTCTGCGGGGAGAGGGAAGAGGATCATCAGCAGACTGTGTCCTTGCTCCGGGAAGTCCGCTACAACGTAGGCTTCCTGTTTGCTTACAGCATGAGAGAGGTGAGTGGAGGATCTGGGGGAGAAGGCTCCCTCCTCTGTAGGGTCGTCTCGCCTGCGTTCTCATTTTCTGTTTTGTCCCTCGCTCCTGAGTGTTGTTTCTCATAGTCTCTTTGAAAATAAAGCCTAGAGACTCAAGATGTTGGTGAAGCTTTTTGCTTCCATGCAACACGTCAAGGGTGTGTGAGGTTGTTAGGTGCTCATGCTGGGCAAAAGCAGTGAAGCTGCAGGTTCAGGTCTCTCGGCATGCTCTGCAGAGCAACTTTTCTGCCTATGAGACTTCCAGCTCCCCTGGACAAGCAACAGGGTTGATTATTGATTGGGTTACCTGGTTCTGCAGACACTCCAGAGTGATTGCAGTGGAGCAGCCATGTCTGCAGGGACCTGACTGCAGGTACATTTGTCTTTGCTGGTGAAAAATTGTGCTGATGTAGCTGGGCTTGAGTCCAGTTACAGAGGCTTTCTGTCAGTCAGGGCTGGAGAGAACTGGTGAATTTTCAGAAGGAATAACCAGCAAAGGAAGTGATGCTTGACAAGTTTCCATTAAGATTCTCTCCAGGACGTAAGAGGCTGGTGGGGAAAAAGGGCACGAGGCTGGGAAGTGGGAGGGGGGAAAAAAGAGGAGTATGGATCAACCCTCAGAACGCGGCACTAAAAGTAGTAGCATCCACAGCCTGCCTTTGGGTACAGCCAGGCAACAGACATCATCTCACAGGAACTGCTGAAC